CTTGCAAATACTATAAAATGCATATGCTTCTATTTAGTATTGGAGTAGAAGCACAAAAGTTTTGAATAAAAATATAGATACCAGAATATTTTGCTTGATTACTAAACTTTGGATGTTTTTGTTGTAGTCTGCTGTTAACACTATTGTCCTGAAATATTAAAAAAGCTAGACAAAGGTTTGTCCAACTCTTTTGTCAGCTTTGTTAATCTATGCTACTGTTATTCTGCATGCAGACATTTTTTACTGGAGATTTTCTCTAAGAACTGTATTCAGTTTCAAATTTCGGCCAGTTTTAGGAAAATACCTCTATTGTAAAGGTATTTCAAATCCATCCTTTGTAAGATGTAGACAACAAATACATGCTAAAATGTATAGAAAACAAATCGCAAGATATTACACAAAATTATTTAAATTAACTAAAAACATACAAATGAAGTGAATAATACCTACCAACAATTTAAAGGCCTAAAATAAATAGACTTAAGGGACTGGAGCTCTAAAAAAGGGAGCAATAATTTGTTATGCATCATCTATAAGAAAATTGTCATCTCTTCAATTACCTTTTAAAATAAAATAAACTAAAACAGCACAAAATTGAAAGTGATCTACTTTTCCCGACGTATTTTATGTACATCTGAGATTAATAATTTATTAAATTGAAATATTTTTTCCTAAAAAATATGGGCATTTTATAATGGAAATGTCATTTAAGAAATGACATTGATTTTTTTTTATATTGGTAAACCTGGCGACTACAAGTTGCCACGTTGTCAGATCAATGGCGACTACTATTTCGAAAAAAATGGCGTCCAAAATGGACTCCTATGTCGCGACCCCCCTTAGATATACCAGCCCTGATGAAAACTAAGTTCTTTATTTAGTTTTACACAAGAGGAACACATGGGAACACAACAGTGATGGTTCATTTTGATAAAATAAACAATAATTTTATCAATTAAACGTCTTTAAAACACCATATACAAACAGAAACCGTAAGATTAACCTATATTATGCTTGAATCACATGAGTAAACAAAACATTAATGGCCCACTGGAAGGTTTCAAATTAAAACTGTAGGTGGCGTATCGCTTATTTTGTCAAGCCTATACTTAACTTTAATGTGAAGCTCTGTTTTGACATGATCCACTAAGAGTCTGTTACAGAGATATAACCATTAACAGGGCCGGCCCCAGGGTAGGGCGATCCGGGCGGCCGCCCTTAGCGCAATATGATCTAGGGGCGCCAAAATCATGGAAAATGAAAATAAACTGATAAAAAAATTAAGTTACAGGCTTTTATAAAATGCACTAAAAAGTAAAGAATATTTTTTTATCATTCTGATAACATATCAATAAATTATTTTTCATAATATTGCATTGTCATCGGACCCTTGTAAGTATACCAAATTTCATTGAAATCGATTCACGGGAATTTTCTCATAAACGCGTTGCAAGATTTGACTGATAGTTAACAAGATTAAGAGGCGGAATTTATCAATTTTATTTCTAAGCACATAATTCAAATAATATAATATATTCAAATATTAAGGCAAAATCTAGTTGAATTCAATTCAACATGACAAAACCATTCAACCACCGCCTTTCAAGAATTGACAAGTTTTTCGGCCCGTGGCAACACGACTGTACAGGAAACAACAATTTTGAAACCAAACGAAACAAGATCTAACAGCCCTTTTTAACTGCATATAAAAAGGAAGTAGACTTAAAAGAATGCATTATTTGCCACTAAACTTCGGCTGGTGCGAAATAAAATAGTTTGTTTAAATTGTTAGTGCAAAAAGCTTTAAAAAAGTGCTTGTGCAAATTGTCCAGTGCGTTTGGCTTCTGTGAAGGTATTTTAATTTTTGTTTTCATTTTTAAAAACTAAAAAAATCCATCAGACATAAGCCCAAAAAAGGGTGGGGGGTAGATTTAAAAAATTAGAGTTTAGATGAAAATATGGCTTGTGTGGTATCAAATGAAAGGTAATTGGGTCTGGAGTTAAATAAAATGCATTTTATTTTTTTAAGCCAGTGGCGCACAAGGGGCGATTTCAAAAATTAGAGTTTACATAAAAAAATAGCTTGTGTGGTATCAAATAAAAGTTGATTGAACCTGCAGTTGAATAAAATTTATTTTATTTTTTTAAGCCAGTGGCGCACAATTGGGGGGATTTCAAAAATTAGCGTTTACATCAAAAAATGGCTTGTGTGGTACCAAATGAAAGTTGATTGAACCTGCAGTTGAATAATTTTTGTTTTATTTTTTTAAGCCAGTGGCGCACAAGGGGGGATTTCAAAAATTAGATTTTACATCAAAAAGTGGCTTGTGTGGTATCAAATGAAAGGTAATTGTGTCTGGAGTTAAATAAAATGCATTTTATTTTTATAAGCCAGTAGCGCACGAGGGGGATTTCAAAAATTAGAGTTTATATCAAAAAATGGCTTGTGTGGTATCAAATGAAAGGTAATTGAGTCTGAAGTTGAATGAAATACATTTTTTTTAGTCAGTGACGCATAAGGGGGGATTTCGAAAATTAGAGTTTAAATCAAATCATGGCTTGTGTGGTATCAGATGAAAGGTAATTGAGTCTCAAGTTGAATAAAATACATTTTTTAAGCCAGTGGCGCACAAGGGGGATTTCAGAAATAATAATTTAAATCAAATCGTGGCTTTTTTTGATATCAGTATTATCTTTTATTTTAATTAATTTGTTCCAGAAACCAAAATGTCCGATGCTAAGAGAAAACCCTCTGAGAGCGAATTTAAAAAGCGGAGATTGAACAAGCAAACACAGCTTCAGAAACAGTCAGATGCGCTGAAGAACTTCTTGAAAGAAGGTAGTTTCAACGCTCCCACAACCGACCAACATTTGAACAACGCCCAGCACCTAGATACTGACTTTCCGGATATGGACCCCCCTTTGGACGCAACCATCAGCATTACTGAGCTGAGTAAGCCATCTCAAACGAGTTTGGCGAGTAGTGATGCAGTTCCGTGCAGTTCCAAAATTCGCAAGTTGTGCAGACCTCAGAGAAACATTTAGAAGAAAAAGGCTATCGTCCAAAGTATCTCTTCTGACCCAGGATTATGGCCCGAAATCATGCGTGCAGCAGATAGAGTTTTTTTGGTTAAACGTTGTCCAGCTGCACCTTTGTATAATTTTGATTTTCCTTTTGATGATCAGCATAGAAGATTCTTACCAAAACCTTACAAGAAAAGGCTTAGAAATGGAGAAGAGGTTTTAAGAGAATGGATAGTATATTCCGTATTTCGCACCAAACCTCAGCATAGCATTAAGAATCCTACTTACATTGCCAGTCACTCTGGGTTCAGGGAAAAGAAGCTTTTCAATACTAAAAATAATAAAAAATTATCTCAGAACGATGCAGACGCAAAATCGTCTCAATGGATTGGCAATGATAGCTATAGAACACCAAATTAGTGACAAATTAGACTTGACATTACTGGTTCGTGAGTTTGCCGAAAGAAAAGTTAGAAAAAGGGCATTTTAATTACTTTGGTTAGTTAGAATTTATTTATAATATGGGATATTAGTTTAGTTAGCATTGCTACATTTTAATTTTTGTTATTTTGCCTTAAGTGCTAAATTGCTTATCTTGTTATCTGATGATTGAATTTTTAATTTCTTTAATTTTTTTTAATTTTAATTTTTTTTTTAGTGTTTTCTTGACTTTCTGATATGGTCGCATGAGATTTACTTAAAAAAACGGGGGGGAGCGCAAAATTAAGGTTTTGTCCTCATCGTGACGTGCTGTACCCATGGTACAGAGTACCTAGACCAGATACGAATGTGCGCAGCGGCATCTTTACCGGCTCCTTCACAAAGGCGATGCCGGTTTTGGCTTAAGGTGCGCGTTTGTTGGACCATGATAATAATTTATTTATTGTGATTACGAAAAAACGTTAGTTGGACCATTGGAATAGTTAAAAAATAAAACTAATAAGAAAAATAACTTTTCTTATAAAGCAGTCAAAAATATGATGAAAAAAAAATCAATAATATTTATAAATGGGACAAAATTTTAATTTTTCTTTTGGTTTTGTCTGACTTTTTCGAGGATTTCAAATCTCTGTTTGCATATTTAAGAGAATAAAAAAGTCTTATAAATAATTTAATGGTGTACATTTTCGCAAATTGTTGACAAGGATGACCAAATTCTATTTTGCTCATCTCAAAAAAGTATGCGTTGGAAATTCCAGGCTTAGTTGACAAACTATCAAATAGAGATATAAATATTTTTTCTAATTTGAAAATATAAAAGAAATTTTTCGCTGGGAGATTTTAAATTGCCAAACACCTTTTCTTTAGAGTCGTATGCTTTAAAATGCGTTAACAAGTTAGAATTGTTAACGAAAATTGCATTCTTCTGAATAATTTACGTAAATTTCGCAAGAGTGGATATGTAATGATTTTTTGATTAAATAGCCACATACATAGTTAAATGCATTTTGAGTGGTCACGTTTAGCTCCCTGTAGTCACATTCAGAAATCGTTATTGCCCCAACTGATTGTTTTGAAATATATTTAATTTTCATTAAGCGGAGAACTTGTTTTCCTAAGGGAAAAACGAATCCCGGGATTCCTTTTCAGAGTGTGCCCCACTGCCGCTAGTACCCACGAGCCGCCACTGATATTCAGTTAAGTAGGATGGAAAAAAAGTTTAGTTAAGAAAATACCTATCGATTTTTTAAAATTGCGTTTCCGAAACGGCCTACCTAAATAACACAACAACTCACTAGTTTTACATGAACTTGAATTAAATGGCTAAGAACATGTGAATTAGTCGCCTCAAACCTTTCTAACACACTACCGACTAGTCCATGATGTCATGAAGATAACTAAACATAAAATAAAAGAAAAGCACAAACGCATGTTAATGTTTTAGATTGATAAGGAGTGACTTGTCTGATAAACGAGTAAGAAAGCGGGCGGTTAAAATGCGCGTGCGTAGCCAGAGCAACAATCGGCATGAGGCATGAATCACAAACCGCCAGTCGTCGCTAAACCGTTGAGAGGGGGTATTACATCGCCTGGCGAGCCCAAAACACACGTGAACTAAACTGACAGCTATCAAAACAATCTAGCAGATTGTTTTGCCACAATTGACTGATATAATTTCTATTCGTTATTTGTTGTTTTGTTTTGTGTTGTTAGTGTGTGTGTGTGTCTTTTTGTGCTTTGTTACGTACGTTATCATGTGACTTTTGTTGTTTTTTTTTGTCGAAAACTTTGTAAGAGTTTTTTGAGAGGAGTATCTACGATGTCTAGACGAAAGCAGAGCAACCCTAAGCCTTTAAAAAGTAGGTGTCTTTATTTGCTTATTTATGTCTGCTTTATGTTCATATTTATTTCATAACTAGAATTTTTATCTGGTTATTTATTTATTACCTGTAACTTTTAATGTCGTCCTTGAATAACAGGGGATACGAATGTTGCTTGTAAACATAATGTAATATTTTCAACTCAGATCTCTTGATTAAAATCGTCATAGCAAATATTTTTAAATTAAAAATAAATAAATGCATGTAGGTATTTTATAATATGATTAGGTCGTAGGTAAATTGCTAAATTTTATTTTTTTTAATATTATTTAATAAAAAACTGCTACCAGTCAGCTAATTATGTTGTTTTACATGCAATGAAATGAGCTTTTGTTGCTAGTTAAAATTTGAAGACCTTTGGACTATCTTTTTTTTACAATAGGTATTTATGTCCACACCAGGATGTAAATAAGACTATTTAAATTATATTTTATTTATTTAAAACCTATTTTAATAAGTACTTGTTACAATTTTCAAAAAGTCTTGCGTAATCTGCCTACTTGGTTTTTAAATCTGTCATCTGTTAATAATTTCCAATTTAAAATTATTGTCTAACATCAATGTATCGATAATTCATAGTTTTTTTGGTGTCATGCGTGGCATTATGCATTGTCATTGTTCCACCTTTGCTGATATTTTGTCTTTATTTTTTTTTTAATATGATAAAAGTTAGGTACACCTATACTGGAGGATATTGTAAACCAAATTAATTGCATGATGGTTAAAAATTGTTAAGTGGATGTTGATAATTTATTTAGGGATAATGATAATTTATGTAGGCAATATAATGCCACCAAATAATCTTGTAAATCTACAGGACACAAAACAAGAAGATTCTTTGATTAAAAAATAAGACGATTAAACGAAATATGCTTATAAAGGTAACTGCACCATTAATTGACACTATTAGACGCTGATTTGTATTAAATAATTATTTTCACCAATAACAAAAAAAATTTAAACATATAATACGATTTTTTCTTGTAGCTTATAGTTTTTTGAGTTCATTAGTTATGTATTTTTAGTTCTAATAATTTTGCTTTTCACGAAATAAATATTATAAAACAAGTGTTTTGAAGTACCAGTCATTGACACATGATTTTTTTCATGTACCAGTAATTGACACACCAATTATTGACACAAATTAAGGAACATTTTTTTATTATAATTTTGAATACACTTTAAGTAAATAATAATAAACAGCAAATTCATAACACAAAAAATAAAAACAAAAAATGAAAATTTATGGGTGCTTTAGACTTCAAAAATATCAATATTTTTTGAAAATACATATTTTATTCTGTCGCCGAAATTGTGTAGTTCCGGTTGGGATAAACCCTCTATCTTGATTGTTGAAATATCACTATCAACAAGTTTGAAGGTACCTATTCGTTTCATTTGTTGACTTAAGGGATATAACCTCAATATCGTTTCGGAAATATTTCTTCTGAACCACACATATATACCTCTAAAAAAAAGTTTTTCTCTTTTCTCCTAAGAATTTTGCTAAAATAACATCTCAATATCGTCGTATTTGATTGGTATTTCGTTCTCTTCTTCATTTTCTAAATTGATACTGACATCATCAATACTGTCTCCACTTTCTATCCATTCTTCGTTTTCGGATGAATTGTCAGAACTTTCCCTCTTTACTGTCTTAGCCTTGTTCTGTATTTTTATAATTTTTTCTTCCCTTTTTCGCTTTCTCTCTTCTGCCCGTTTCTGTTGTTCTTCTTGTTTTTTCTTTTTCTCAGAATCCTTTTTTATATAGTATTTTTGCCAAATTTCTGACGTAATAGCACAAGGAATTTGCTCTTTATTCTTTTTTTTTTGTGCTTTTTACTTCTTCCGGCCATAACAAGGCTTTTTTAAATGGAGCGGGAACTTGTTTCTTTAAAGATAATACATTGAACGGCGTTGTATTTTCCAATGAATTTAAAGGAGATCTATCACTTTGTGATACACTAGGAGGTGTAATATTGACATCAGAATGTATAACAATTTTTAATGGGGTCATATCAGAATCAACTCTTTGTTGTTGAAGGCCAGAAGGTCCTGGTCTCGAGTTGTCTAATATGTTTTTTTACAAGATCATTTTCCTTCCTGTTGCAATATTGTCTCACTTTTATTTGTTTTCTAATGGTTCAACACCTAAAGCGGATTCTATTTGAATTTTTTTTTTCATTGTGTTCCATACATTAAATAGTGACATGTCTTCCATATTACCTGTCCATGCAGTATCAAAATTTGTTCAAAAGTTTTTTAATTTTTCTGAGGGAATACATTTTTCCAAAACTAATCCTTCTATTATTTTGGTTTGATTAACTTCTGTCGACGGGTTTGAAATTTTTGAAAATTTTACATTTTCTACATTGAACGGCGAAAGTTCACATGTTCACATGCCCTAAATCCATGTTGAATTGTTTTATCTGTAACTTTGGAAAACACTTTCTCAAACACTTTTCTGAAATTTTCTTTTCCCAATATTTTTCCGTGATTTTCGATGTGCCAATCTCTTACAGATTTTTTCCAAAATTGTTTTAGCGGCTTAAATACAGCCACATCTGAGCCACATCCATAGGTTGAATTAAATGTGTAGAGTTTACATACAATGCAAAAAGTTCTATTACGTTTTTTGAACAAAACTTTGATAGGTGTAATTTCATGTGCGAGACATGACCGTCAATAAACATAATAATTGGTCTCTCAATTTTTTCTCATCTAGCCATGGTACAAACACATTTGTTATGTATTCAAAAAAAGTTGCTCCACACATCCATCTGCTTTCGGAACGGCCTATTCCTCAACTTTTATTAATACTGACAGCTACATGACTTGGAATGCGTTCATATATAAACACCACCATGGGAGGAGCTAGTGTCCCAGCGGCATTGGCGGTGACTAATACAGTTAAATTTTCTTTCTCGTCGTTGGTTCCAGCATTGTACACGCTTTTATCCCCTTTTCGTGCAAGGACTTTATCACCTTTTGGTTGAAGAAAAAAAGCACCCTCATCAGAGTTGGATACTCTGGAAGGATCCTCCGTAGCCGCAAATAAATTTTTTGACTGCAAGTATTCTTTCACTTCCCGAAACCATTGTCGCAATTATTGTTGTTCAGTAACTTTTTCGCGGGCTGGTGTTAAATTTTGTGCAACTCTTTAATTTGGATGCCTTTTCAAAAACGACTCGTACCATTTTCGAACTTGTCTCGAATCAGTGAAAGGGTTTGGTCGTTTACTTTCTTTAACGATAAACTGGACACTGTCTAGTAATTGCTTTTTGTCTACTGGATGGTGCACTAGATTGATAGGTACTTTAAATAGAAATAAAATCTAAAAGGTCGAGGGTATGACTATGAGAAGGCCGCAGTGCCACCGCATTTGACTCCTAGGGATACTGAAGAAGGACTAAAGATTATCTAAGAAAATGTTAATTGTTTATTGTTTCGGCCTTTACTTGATGAAAATCCATTTTATCTTGAATGAGTAAAACCAAATTTGGTAGATTTTCACAAAACTTTTATTTTGTTAATTGGTCTCTACGTTTTAGTAAAGTATACTAGTGTACTTAAAGTACTTGATCGTATTTGGTAAAATACCCATTGGAACGCAAATAGAATATAGTTGGTGCAGATTTACTTCAGAGGAAAGAGAGCGGCTTCTGAAATTACCTCTTGTCAAGCACGAAAAGGACTATCGCAGCAGAGACTTTCCAAATGTCTAAATATTATTTCGAGCACTTAACATGAACAGTGTTTACAAACCATTAATCAAATTGTTTAGAATTGTTTTTAGCTAAACTCTGTTATGTCTGTTCTCAGCATTTTGAGGAAAATGCTTATTGCTCTTATGTAAGAAGGTATGTGATCCTTCATGAAACAATTCTTTGTAGAAGGCAAATACCAAGAAAATTGAAGCATTTACTTCAATATATAGGAAATTTCTGAGAAACAAAAGTACCAGTAATCCAGGTACATTGGTTTTGTACTTTAGACATACATAGGAATCATAAAAGTAACAAAAACGTATTTTAGAGCCACCATATATGTCGACAGCCTTTTTACAAGAAAAGCATAGCTAGACCATCGATTGCTATAGAAGCAGAAAGAAGGGAGATATGCAAGAGTTTTGAAAATGTACACTGGCAATATAATGTTTATATAATTAACAGGCTTGTGTAATATTTGAAAACGAGAATATTGGTGAAAGTGGTGGCAGTAATAGCCATAGGGGTATTTTTTTGAAAGAAGACTTATTTGTGGATGAACAATACATCTGTTCTAGTTAAAAATTTAACAACTACACATAATTAATTTAAAAAAAAATAACAGTTATACAAATTCAATATGTCTGTCTGTTTTGTTTTGACTATACAATTTCTTGTACAAGATTTGATACAATTTCTTATAGAATTTAAATTGTATAGGATCATATAGTAAATTGTTTGAAAAATGATTATCCAATCTAATTTTTCAGACAGTTTACTGCAGGTTTGATAATATACAATTTAAATTGTATAAGAAATTGTATTAAAAACTTGAGTAGTCTAAAAGAGTCTTAAAACAGTTTTTAAAGTGATATTCTTTTTATAAATTAGTAAATTATTCTTATACCAATAAATAATTATTGAATAGTGGCAAAGAAAATTTATCGTTAAATGTAGAATACCTTAAAAATGATTTACCTATTAGGCACCTATACATATTTTTTAATATTCTATTTAGGTTTCCGCAAGATCCTGAGAAAAGAAAACATTGGTTTTCTCTAGTAGGGATCCTTGAAAATCAGCCCCTTCATAAAAACCCAGAGTTGTGTTCAGAACATTTTTTCCTGAAGATGTTTTGGTACGTGCAAATAGTGCTAAATATATCAGAAAAGATGCAAACCCTAGACGGTGTATTTTTGGATGACTTATCCAACAGGTAAAAATAAAAAAAACATTAATTTTTTGTTTACCTCTAAACATTATTTATTACCT